TGCATCACGTTAGTTATTTGTGATGGCTACCAAGCATGTCGGAACTCTCTAGCTAGACAAAAAACGAAGTCAGTGTATATGCGTCTCAGCCAATTCCCTGTCCGTATTTTGTCACTTGTGTTAATGAAAATAGTTTTTTTATCAAGCGGCGCGTTATTTTATTGACGTTTATGAAAATATTAGTACGGGATGCGGTATATTCAAACACCGCACGTCACTTATAATTGTCGACAAATACTTGACGTAAGGGGAGAAAACCGACATTTCCCCTTTATTTATGCTTTCGTCCCCTTTATTTCCCGTTTTTCGCCTTTATTTCCCCTTTATTGGTTGCTTGAGAATACAGGTGTATCAATTGACACCCAAAATTATTGTGAGGCAAAGGTTTTTAATGGATTAACTTATCATATTTTCGATTTTATCTTACTAAATATTTGGGTTACCTAATGATTCACATGTTTTTGATGGAAATTCCTATAAAAAGGAGAAAAATATGTCGAATGAATTAGATCATGGTCGGGAATGAGATCGTGGAGAAGATTTGTAGTGGATGATTTTGGTGGAGTTTTGTTCTATGAGCTAGATGGTTTGGTCGTGGAGCTTTCATCGTTCTTCTGAACGACATCATCAGCACGAACTTCAGTTAGAAGTGAAGTGTTCGAATTTCTCCATATGTGTTTCACAGCTTGTTCTGTGCACCTCGATGTTGATTGGTTCTTATTGACCTTAAATTTATCATTGTTTACTTCTTTGTTTTGGTCGTGTCTCCCATTGGTTGGATTTTTGTTCCTATATTTATGCATGATTTTCCTGACTGGTTGATAAATTGGATTGACTTCAATATGTTTGTTGATTGCTGATTGACCTGAGTGCCAGGCTTCTAAAAATTCTCTGGTGTTTTTGGAGTTTCCTCCGTCTAAGAGTTCTACATTTTTCCAATCGAATGAGTGTCCGTAGTTATTCACGTGTATTAATATAAGTGAAGAGATATCATGGCGTTTGACTGCTAATTGATGTTCATGTAGGCGAAGGTGGAGGGGGCGTCCGCTTTGTCCGATGTAGTGTTTGTCGCAGTTGGTACAATTCATTTTGTAGATGATGTTTGATTTGTTTTCCTTTGTTTTTTCATCCTTTGGTTTGAATAGGATTGATTGTAGTGAATTTGTCGGTTTGTGTGAAAGAAAACAGTTGGTTGGTTTCTTTCACCTGTTGAGTTATCGGTACTACAGTTTGAGTTATCTCCTGTTGTATTTCTTCACTGATTCCGGAAGTTTTACAAAAAGCTTTATTAAGACTTCGCCTAACTAAATGGTAAATAAAAGTACATCCAATACTTAAATTTTAACCGCTGATATAATTTAGATCAGTTTCACTTCTGAAACAAATGAACACCCTAAACACGACACCATATTCAAATCAAGGATGCTATGAAATAAGTTTTGAGGCTATAATGTGAACAAAAAATGCAACTGAAGTGACACACATCAGTCACGAATCCCAAACATCGTGTCTGGACGCACACACAGATGGACTCTAAATTTACTCAAACCGCTGGGTTTGGAGTTGAATAAAGAGCAAACGGAATTACTACTTAGTATATTTATTCGTCTAACTCCGCCTGGAGTCCCTCCGAAGGCTACTGCCGGTCCCAAGCCCGGATAAAGGAGGAGGGTTGGGCATGGGGTTAGCGTCCCCATCCCGTAGAAAACTAACTCGCTAAAAAACGCTAACCAGAAAAAATTATTCAAACCTCTTAAACTCTACCCAGGGAGTCAGAAGGTCTTCATTTAGGAGAATTATGACGCCTCATGATGAAAGCCGAATTCCTTCGGAAGTTACGAGACCGATGCCCCTTCTGACAACCAGAGCGACCATTTATTTAGGTTCATGGAATGTTCGTACAATGTGGGACACCGGAAGAGCCTTCCAGATTGCTGCAGAAATGAAAAGATACAACCTAGAGGTACTTGGGATCAGTGAAACACATTGGACACAAGTTGGACAACAACGACTAACTACAGGAGAGCTCCTGTTATACTCCGGCCATGAAGAAGAAAATGCACCACATACACAAGGAGTCGCATTGATGCTGTCCAAACAAGCGCAAAATGCGCTTATAGGATGGGAATCTCATGGACCAAGGATCATCAAAGCCTCCTTCAAAACAAAGAAAGAGGACATTTTAATGAACATCATCCAATGCTATGCGCCTACCAACGACTACAATGAAGACGCTAAAGATCAATTCTACAATAGGGTGCAGTCAATAGTCGAGAAGTGCCCAACAAAGGACCTGACCATTCTGATGGGAGATTTCAACGCCAAGGTTGGAACGGACAACACCGGATATGAAGACACCATGGGACGACACGGACTGGGAGAAAGGAACGAAAATGGTGAGAGATTTGCAAACCTATGTGCCTTCAATACGCTGGTCATAGGCGGCACCATATTCCCACATAAACACATACACAAAACCACATGGACTTCATCGGATCACTCAACACAAAACCAAATCGACCATATTTGCATCAACAAAACGTTCAGGAGAACTATAGAGGACGTGAGAACCAAGAGAGGAGCTGATATAGCATCAGATCATTACTTACTGGTCGCCAAGATGAAATTGAAACTCAAGAAGCACTGGACAATGGGGTGGACAATATCACAAATGTTCAACACGGCCTTTCTTCAGGATACTAACAAACTCAACAAATTCAAGATAGTCCTCAGCAACAAGTTCCAGGCCTTTCATGATCTACTCAATGGAGAAGGAACTACTATGGAGAGCAACTGGAAGGGGATCAAAGAGGCAATCACTTCAACATGTCATGAGGTCCTGGGTCACAAGAAGCACCATCACAAGGAATGGATCACTGTTGGTACACTAGATAAGATTCAAGAAAGAAGGAACAAGAAGGCAGCAATCAATACCAGTCGAACAAGAGCAGAAAAAGCCAGGGCGCAAGCTGAATACACGGAAATAAACAAACAAGTGAAGAGGAGCATCAGAACCGACAAACGTAAATATGTGGAACATATAGCAACGACGGCGGAAAAGGCTGCAAGAGAAGGAAACATGAGACAATTGTATGACACGACAAAGAAACTCTCTGGAAATCGCCGCAAACCAGAACGACCAGTGAAAAGCAAAGAAGGCGAGGTAATCACCAACATTGAAGAGCAACAAAACAGGTGGGTAGAACACTTCAAAGAACTCTTGAATCGATCAGCTCCACTGAACCCAACTAACATCGAAGCAGCACCCACCGACCTCCCAATCAATGTTGACTCACCAACAATTGAAGAAATCAGAGTAGCCATCAGACAAATCAAGAGCGGCAAAGCAGCTGGACCAAACAACATTCCAGCAGAGACACTGAAAGCAGACGTAGCGGTAACTGCAAAGATACTCCACATTCTCTTCAATACGATTTGGGATGAAGAATAAGTACCAACAGACTGGAAAGAAGGACACCTGATCAAAATACAGAAGAAAGGCGATCTCAGCAAGCGTGATAACTACAGGGGCATCACTCTTCTATGAATACAGGGAAAAGTCTTCAACAGGGTATTGTTAAACAGAATGAAGGACTGCGTAGATGCCCAACTTCAAGACCAACAGGCACGATTCAGTAAGGATAGATCGTGTACAGACCAAATCGCAACTCTATGGATTATTGTGGAACAATCAATTGAATGGAATTCATCACTATACATCAAATTCATTGACTACGAAAAGGCATTTGATAGCGTGGAAAGAACAACACTATGGAAACTTCTTCGACACTACGTCGTGCTTCAGAAGATAGTCAATATCATACAGAATTCATATGGTGGATTAAACTGCAAAATCGTGCATGGAGGACAGTTGACAAACTCGTTCGAAATAAAGACAGGTGTCAGGCAAGGTTGCTTACTCTCACCCTTTCTCTTTCTCCTGGTGACCTACTCTATTGAATCATGAAGACATCAACATGTGAAGGGAACCTCGGGATACAGTGAACATCTAGGATGCAGTTGGACGGTCTAGAATTTGCAGATGATCTGGTCCTTCTGTCTCAAACGCAGTAACAAATGTAGGAGAAGACGACCAGTGTGGCAGCAGCCTCAGTAGCAGTAGGTCTCAATATACACAAAGGGAAAAGCAAAATTCTCCGATACAACACAGCATGCATCAATCCAATCACAATTGACGGAGAAGATTTGGAAGATGTATAAACCTTTACATATTTGGGCAGCATCATTGATGAACAGGGTGGATCTGATGCAGATGTGAAGGCGCGGATCGGCAAAGCAAGAGCAGCATATTTACAACTGAGGAACATCTGGAACTCAAAGCAACTGTCAACCAACACCAAGGTCAGGATTTTCAATACAAATGTCAAGACAGTTCTACTGTCTGGGGCAGAAACCTGGAGAACTACGAAAGCCATCATCCAGAAGATACAAGTGTTTATTAACAGTTGTCTACGCAAAATACTTCAGATCCATTGGACGGACACTATTAGCAACAACATACTGTGGGAGAAAACAAACCAGATCTCAGCGAAGGATAAAATCAGGAAGAAGCGCTGGAAGTGGATAGGACACACATTGAGGAAAGCACCCAACTGCGTCACAAGACAAGCCCTCAGATGGAATCCTGAAGGTCAAAGGAAAAGACGAAGACCAAAGAACACATTACGCCGAGAAATGGAGATAGACATGAGAGAAATGAACAAGAATTGGATGGAGCTAGAAAAGAAGGCCCAGGACAGAGTGGGTTGGAGAATGCTGGTCGTCGGCCTATGCTCCATTGGGAGTAACAGGCGCAAGTAAGTAATATTTATTCGTCTGTCTACGTCCAGTCCATCGACAGTTTAACAAAACTAGAACATCCATTCCAAGCTACCTCATCATGACTACTGAAATATGACGACAACACCAGTGAAATCCTGATACGTCGTCAAATTATGTTTGTACGACGGCTAACTATTAAATTGATGTTCATCAAATCATTTCTAGAAAAAAAAGCTAATTTAATTAATAAAGAATTACAATTTAAGTATAAAGTGGACACTTATACATAAATGGTAAGCATATATGAATTTTTTGAATCTCTTTAATTGCCAAAAAATTCATACGTAGAGTGACTTCGCTTAAGTCACCTCACAAATGGAGTTAAAAAAAGGAAAAACAAATAATACAGAAATAAAATGTCGCAACAATTGTTGTACTGAAATCTCGTGAAAAGGGAAAATATACCGATTGAAAACAAACAAAGCCATGGAATCACTTTTTTACAAGTGCTCACTAAGGTGAGGGTGCAGTATTTTGAACAAAATTTATGGAATAGCCTTCTGATTCAGGATTCTTTTGTACTTTGAAATTGTCAGTTGATAGACCAAAAGGTTTTAAGATCAGATTACCTAACTGCTTTAATTGACCAAACATTTCCTCCTTCATTTTTTCATTTTGAATATGAATACGCTCCGGAAGGGTCTAGAAATACGTAAAACAAGAATGGGTTGCAAAACGAATAGACATTTTTTATCTGTTACATAAAGTTTGTATCAAACAATAAAGCTCACATAAGGAAATGGGTTGAGGTGAACTAATCATTTATACATACCTGATTTCAGATTAGAATCAAACTAGATACTCTAGTCTTTTAACCTCCCCAACGTAAAAAAATAGTTTACTTGAACATAATATATGTTTGAGAACCCCAGTATTTAGTGTATTTTTAAAATGAAGTTAGACAGTCATTGGGCCTATTTCTTAAGGACCGAGAATATCTGACTACCTAAAAGAATTAAATGGAAATGTTTTTGGACGGGCAACACTATGGTTACTAGCTACTCCCCTAGTGTCTAGATACATTTCTACAGTGAAAACATTTATAATGAATCTATTAGAGTACAACAAAGTAATTTAAGGTATTCAGTATTTCTGCATGTTGTATGATGTTAACAAGATCTCTTTCAAAAACGATACTGATACCACTCTATTATCGAAAATTAGATTTGGTTCGACATATACATCGATGTTGTATGATTGTTTGATTTTATAACTTTATTTAAAAATATGAGTAGAACAGACTGATTACAGTATTAACACCGATTAGGAGTAGAATATAAAAAACCACTAGATAATCATCAGGTCAACGCTCGAAAAAAATAAGATAGAAATAATTAACTATGCTTCAGACTAGAAAACCTCGAAAAGCTGTTTTGATGCAATTTTTAATTATCAGTTATCAATGCTAAAAGAAACATTGTCACAGAAATTCGAAACAGAATGTATGACAGAATATGCTCTGGACACCGTTTTTGTGAACGCGATCTTATAAGTAAAATTCCATTACCTATGATAATATAACGCATAACCTAACTCGGAAGATAAATAGATGAATATACCAGAGTAAAATACTATAATAACAAAATCAAAGACAGAAAAAGATCAAATGAAGGATGTTATAACCAATCTGTTAATGTGCTTCTTATTTATTTATGTTTGAGAAGAAATGGAAATATTTCGAGATGTTCAGTACTAACACAATTATCAAAACTAAACATTTTCATTTGCTATATGACTGAAATTTGAAACTGTGAGTGGTAAACGCTCAAGCGAAAACCTAAATTAGAGGAAACGTTTTTGATTTCTTTAAATTGATCCTGAGAAGTTTTTAATAAACCAAACTTCTTTCCGCAAACTTTCAAACAACTGGAAAAAAAAAAGAAATTCGAAACCAACTGACACTTCCATTCACAATGTCGTAGGTGTATACACCCTTTGTCTTACTTTAAACTGTGAGATTAAAATTGCTTTATATCATTCCTTCTACGAACTAACTCTTTCTTCCTGTACTATATTCTTACCCACAATCTTTCTTTTATACATTACTACCATTGAAGTAACTACTATGAATTTGGTGTTCATCTTGTGTCGGTGAGGTGTGGCAACCTGGAACGATGCATATATGTGCCCGGTCCTACGTTGTAGCCAATTGACTTATAATAGAATATTTAAAAAGATAATAATCAACTGACTTTCATATAAAAATCTAAGAAAGAAAATGTATTACCCAGGATCAATTTTCAGTTATATTAAATATACGGTACAAACTATGATAACTCGTTAGTCAGTTTTTAAACAACATTAAGCTTATATTACTTCCAGCTCTCGATCTAAAGTAAATAAGCAACAGGAATGGATTTATCAATCTATCTTAATAATATCACTTAGACAGAAAAATAGATTTTTTACCGTGTTCCATAAACATGACATCATTTGAACTTAGACTCCTATAAAAATACAATTTAGTGCTCATGAATAGTGATTACATCTACAGACAAAGTTAAATGAACAATAAAACATCATCTGAAAAATCAGAGTTCATTAAAACTGAAGTCAGTCAGTCAGTAACAAAGTAGAACTTCGTACGTACGTACATCAGTTCGAGTTGCCACACCACATTAGCACAGAGATGCAGTTGTCGATTCAAATCCCATAGTGGTAGAGGTAATAAGAGTATAAGCAGTAGTCGGGAAGATTAGGGTTTGAAGATGTTATTTAAAGAGTATCATCCAGTGAAATAAATTTGGAAAGAGGAAAAAAGGGACATGAAGAATTCAGAAGATTAGAATTTGAGAGAACACAGAGAGTGGATGCACCTGCGTCATTGCAAACGATTTTGAGCCATGTCATTCAAAAACTGAAGTATGAAGAGGTCAATTTGATCATTAGAATACACATAAATGAAAACGTCTTCAAAAACAAACGAAGTATTGGCTTGTTAATGCTATATAAACATAACCACACGAATCTAATATTAGTGAGAAATGACGATGTCACCAAGTGTCAAACTATTTACAGAACTAAACTTACTAATTTTACAGTCAGTAACAACACAACTATAATCAACATAACCTAAAATAATATGGTACCCAATTTTAGGTTTATGTACTCAGTTTGAAATCACTTTTTGTATCGTAGTAGTAATTCTGGACTATACACAGCAAAGTGAGGAGTTTTGTTTTGTAATCTAATGATAGAAAGTCAGGTATTTTAACGTATATATCATATCCTCACTAAAAGTATTCAACTAAAAGACAATCAAGAAGACTGAACAAAGGATTGAATGATCACAACTGTACTCTTCGTTTTTCATACGAGTTTGATGCACAAAGGTGCTAGATAAAATAAACGTGATTACGAATGACATAACATACGATCAACTGCGATCCCATAATTTTAATTTTCAGAAAACCATACAATCTACTATTCATCATAACCCCATACAAAATATACCCTAGAAAAGATTTTGATATCCAAATTATGCATAAACGAATTATCGTATGGACAAACATTAAATCGTTGAAAAGAATGTGCTAATAGTTAAAAATACATTATAGGAGTATTCTACTATAATGTTTTTAGTGTGCAACTAATCGATCATTAAAGTGGATCAGCAGAACCTTACATTATTCCTGAAAGCAAACGATATATATATATATATATATATATATATATATATATCGGAAGAGGTTTTGTCGATATTATAGTAATTTTAATAGTCGGGATCATGAGTCTATACATATAGTTGTGAATTCCTAATAATTTTAATCCATAATTTATACAGTCATACGACAGAGTTATAGTCATAAGGTACGACTATTTATAAACCTAAGGAGATGAATAGCTAACATATTTGGGATGCAAAACGATGAGACTCATTTACCCAACCGTAATTTTAGAATAATAGAGGGTACAACAATGATGATGAACTAAAAGGAAGCTAATATCCAGTATTTACAAAACAACTTTGAAAAAATATAAGACATTGATTTTGCATGCTATCACGTTTCTCAACTTCGACACTTGCATAAACTGAAAGTCTTTGGTGCCAAATTCATAACATACATACCACTGTTTCTGCTGTTTATAACACAGTAGAAAGATAACACGTCTCACAAATATGAGCACACAACTTAGGCCATTTTCAAATAATGGAATTTTCCTACATACATTAATACAATATAAAAAAACTAACATGATAAGAACTATAGGAAAATAAAACTTGTTTTGCAGAAATAAACAGCGTTAGGTCAGTCAAAATAAATTAATGTGACTGAGGAAAAAAGTACGTAATTTTGCTATATCCAGGAATAGGAAGATGACAAAGAATGAGTACAATTGCGTGACTATATCCAAGTTTAGGTTTATAAGTCAACGGATTACGAATACCTTGCATACTCCAGCCAGAAAATCCAAACCTTTCTACACAGACAAGACTAACACTTTTTAGCTTAGCAAGGTGATACCATTACATGATCTAGTCACCCTTACGCACTTCGTAACTTACCTTGATGCCATTCTATATAGAATGCTGAAGCAGATGGTTGTAGTGAATGAATAACCAATTACCTTGTTAGATAAAAGTTGGTAGTCTCTTCAACCAACTAACCACCTTTACTACAACAATAGATCGACGATACTCATGAACAAACGTTTGCAATAAAAACATGTCTACTCAAGTTTCACAACCCACAAGTAATACATAATAGACTTCTGAGTAGCACATTGACTGTTTGAATATGAACATTTTGCTCTCAAAACGTTAATCGTAGCTATCACTCACGAACCCACATGCAGAGAACAATTGCAATGGTGGATTCAGAACATTGAACTATGTCACTTTCGAAAAATCCTCGGATAACATTTAGCGAATGAAGTTAACTGATACCTACCAGTTAAACATACATCTCTTGATTAGTTTGAAATTGTGATCCTCACTAACAGACAATTTCTAGGTTACTACCAAACGCTAAGAAAAAATTAAATTCCCTTAAAAAAAATTAAAAACAGTAACATAAGTAATACAAAACAGCAGAAAGAAACCGTTAACATGAGTAGCAAACTTACAGCGCATGCATGACGAGCTTTTTGATTACTCGGGTCTAACTGTAAAATTCTTTTATAATCTTCAAGTGCATCTGACAGTCTGTCCTTGCTTTCCAACAAAGTGGCACGTCGCTCCAAACATTTGGCGTAATCTGGTTGTAAGTTCAAAGATTCATTACAGTCCAAGATCGCTGCTTCGGGAGAATCCTACTTTTTAAAGAAAGAAGCTTAGCTAAGCTAACAAACAAGTTTAAACACTAGTTACTTCAACTAGTTAATAGAAGTAGCCAACAGATAAGACCAAGATTTTAAAATCTCAACCCATTTAAGTTTATGAGATACTAACTAGACCGTACAAAATTTCCCCAAACCTCATAATCCTAACACAAATAAGATGAATGTTATGCATTAAAACAGCTGGGAGATGACAAAACGATCATAATTACGAGAGCGGATAATGGTAACACTACAGTTATTATGAATAAAACAGAGTATGAGAAAAAAGCCAAGGAACATCTACAAGAGCGACCATATGAACAAATTAAAGAAGCAAAAAGTAGAACAACTCTTAATAAACTCAAGGCGGAAACCAGCAAACTCTTACAGTCATTAAAGGCTAAGCCAGGATCGTCTTTATGGTTTATGTTATATCTAAAGAGTTGTAACCCATGCAGATTTTATGGACTCCCAAAGATCCACAAGAGTAATACTCCACTAAGACCAGTGGTAGACTTTACAAATTCACCGACTTACAATCTAGCTAAGATACTCAAACCATATGAAAAACTGATTAATCATGGAATTAAAAACTCTATAGAATTCAAGAACTTGATTGATACCACCGATATAGAAGAAGATGAAATAATGGCAAGTTTTGATGTATCTTCCTTATTCACTAATGTACCTATCAATCGAGCTTTGGATATTATCAATGATTGTTTAGAATCTGATTTAGATTTGAATTTACGTTGCCCATTAGATCCACCGGAAGTTATCAAATGCTTAGAATTATGTTTAAGATCTACCTTGTTTATATTTCGAGGTCACCTGTATAGACAGAAAGAGGGTATAGCAATGGGCTCACCAGTTTCTCCGATTGTGGCGAATTTGTTCATACATTCCCTAGAAACTAGTGCAATCGCTAGAAGTGTATATCCACCAAAGTTATGGTTACGGTATGTAGACGATATTTTTATTATCAATAAACGGGATGGTTTAGAAGAACTATTTAACACTCTAAACAGCATTTCAGAAAGCATTAAGCTAACGAAGGAACTAGAATCAGTTGACCACAAACTAGCATTTCTAGATTGTTTAGTTGAACGTAGACACAATAATAATAAGTTGAAAATAAATGTTTACAGGAAATCAACACATTCCGAGAGATACGTAGATTTTGATTCAGCTCATGCACAGTGCACGAAAATTAATGTTGTAAAAAATCTAATGAATAGAAGTACTAAGCTTGTTACAGATAAGGAAGACCAACAAGCTGAATTAAATAAAGTATTTTCTACTCTTAGGGATAACAACTACCCAAAATAGTTTTTAAAGAAGATTATTAAAAGTGAAGGAAAAACTAAACTAGAATGTATACGGAAAGTTTCGAAGTACACCGTAGTCATACCATACCGTAGTGAAACATCAGAAGAAATCAAGCGGATTCTAAACAAACATGATATAAGAGTGTATTTTAGGGCGACTAACACCTTAAGACCGACGTTAGTGAAAGTTAAGGACATGTTACCAAAGGAAGAACAACAGAATATTATGTATGAGATCAACTGTCATGATTGTAATGCAGCCTATGTTGGAGAAACATCCAGACAATTGAATGTAAGATTGAAGGAACACAAACAATGTTTGAAAAATGTTCCCAAATCCTCATTTGATTTGAAGAAACTTGAGAATAAGTCTGCGATAGCGTTACATGCATTAGAAACAGGACACAAGATTAATTTTGAAGGGATCAAAATACTTCAGAAAGGTTTTAACACCCATAAAGAAAGATTGACAGCAGAAGCGCTGTATATATGGGCGAACAAGAACAGCCTGAACCGAAAAGATGGTATTCAACTGGCGACTACCTGGCAAATTTCGTTATGACAAGTAATTTGAACCCTATCTTTATTCAACCTGTCTATTTCACATGCATCGTTATTTTTGACTGATTTCAATGAGTTTTTAGCAATACAATTTAGGTATTTGTTTGACATGTACAACGATGATTCATTAACAATTTTATCAACTTTGAACTTGCAATTTTATTTATTTACTTATTCCTTCATATATAACATATCAACACAGAACATCAGTAATTAATCTCACACATACAATTTATTATTCAGTTAATTATTTCCATGTGGTTAATTTTTCACATGAATTGTAGTTAACTGACTTATTTTATCCTATTTTACAAAAATCAACATCCAAATTTGATTGGTGTAACACAGTATAGTTATGATTGTTAAAAGCTATATATTTCTTTGATGATTTTGATTATTACCCTGAAGAAGTCCAGAGAGGTTGGATGGACGAAACGTTGGAATTATTTAAATTTCAATCGCAGAGATTGTTTCAAATATAATTTCCACCTATTATGACTTCTACTTACTCGGCGCTCAATCGCTTTCCAACTATTTTTTTTCTGATCTTGACGAATATTGGCATATACAGTACATATTTGAGGATAACATGAGAAATGCAATTAAGTCAATATGTTTTCTTGATCCAAGTATCGTTCTGTATTACTACAAAATGTTGGGTTACTGTGAACAACCCTATAACCCGGTTGTGGAATGAGTAGGTAGTTTTGCGTTTATCTGTGGCAGGTTTTTGGAGCACAAAACAGGAATCTATGTAAAGGATGATTTGGGAGAGCACAAGATGAAAGGCGTCAGCCTGGATCCCTACAATCAACGAACGTTCCCATAAGAAAAAACCACGTACGAGCATGACTGGAGCATACGAGTATCTTTCCTGATTTGTATACAACCACAAAAGTGTTTTCTTTGAAGTTTACGTAGATTTATTATCGTATAATCACTCGAATAAGACAAATTTTAATATGCGAATGCTTAGAAAAAACATTGGTTCAAGAGAAAGAATGATATACTATCACATCGATGAACTAATGTTGTGCATTCCTTGATCCGAAAACCGAACACTTATTTATGACCTAGCAATGTCGGTTGACTATGTTAGACATATTTTAAAATAATTCCTCACGTACAAGTTATTTACCTGCAACTGTTATTTCCTGACTAAACAGGCTGAAATTTGTTGCTTAGAGGCATCCATACAAAATGGTTACACTGATAAGGCCGGAACTTCTCGAACTTTTAGCTCCAAACTGTAGCATCTAATTTGATTTGAGAGAATGAGCAGTGGCTTAAAGCTGATTATATGGACTTACATTGAATGCATGGGGTATTCAGTAAAGCACAGAGCATATTCGCACATTTGAATGAAGTGCAAAGGACACCGGTTTACCATGTTAGTATGAGCGACTTAGTGCAAACTACTACAAACTTGTATAAAATAAATGTGGCTGAATGCTTACAATGAGCATAAAAGATACATATATAGAAAATTTCTTTACAAAAAGGATAAGACAAATTATAGTCATGCTGTAGTAATTAAGTAAGATGCAAAATCTAGGATAAATATACAACGATCAATTTCGATAATACAAGAGCAAAATGAGAACTCCCATAGAAACGTAGACGACTAACCAATTTTATATGACATGCAGCCCTATTGGCATAAATCACAGAGCGTTCAACGGCACACTTCAACGGGCAAACGTCAAGAGCTTCCGTGTATTTCATTAAAGCCTCATTAAAAGAACCAGACTTAAAAAGAGCATTTCCCCTGTCTTTTGTGGCAACTGCAATATCCCTTCGTTCCTAATCTAAATATTAAATCAATAAAATTCAAACCTCGATTTCCTGAACGGTTAGTGATTCCTCTTCTAATCTTCTATCTTCAAGTGATTTTTCTTGGACTCCATTATTGTCCGAAAACCTGTCAAAGCTTACAGCCTCTTTAAAATCCGAAGAGGATTCTGGCGGTGAACCTGGAGAGAAGTCCTGGGCATCAACAAACTCATCCGAACATGAAGACATGTGACCTTCTGCTTTGAAACGCGACAAGGTTATTTCCAGAATTCCGCAGTCAGTGAACAACTATAAATATTTTCAAGTTGCTGTCATCGGAAAATAAACTTACATTCATCAAACTTTGAAGTCTAAAAATGATTGATAATAAACTTTGAATTACGAGATCTCAATAAAAAGCGATTCCAATGGATCAAAACAGTTCAGGAAAAGAAAATTACAGGAAAGGGGGTATAACACATGCTGTTATGTAATCCTTATGAGTCACATGTTGCGTTTCTCCGTTTGCCCAGTTCATTGGTTTAGTCTATAAATTTGTATTCTTCTCCAGTCTTTTAAATTATATGTTTAGCTGCGTTAAATTACAATTATGAGCTGACTCCTGCTTTATTATATCAGTTAATGGAAGAACAAAAAGGTTCACTACAATGGTTCTTGGGCAAATTTCGTCTTTCTGAAGTTTTTCAAAACGTTTTTTGAGATACGTATTGCTTAGTCAATTCTATTTTTATCAATACCAAACCAAATCTATCAGTGTTGATAATATTTAGTTTCATCTTAGTCCAGATTAACGAATTAACGAAAAGCTTAGACACGTAGTGTCGGGACTAAAAGAATGCTTAGTTGGCAGGTGCGTTGTTGTCCCTCTACCATCCTTAAGACGACCCATTATAACTCGCTTTTACATTCTGTATGGAGAGCTTATACTGATGTCAGTCTAAACCACATAAGCTCTTTCAGTATGTAGATCACTAACGTAGATTATCTATGTCAAATGATTAGGGACCTACTCAAGTTAGACGGGGATAGTGTGACGAACCAGCTAACTTCTAAGTCACACTTCGTTGTAAGCATTTAACTTGGATTACTCCTTCTTCACATCTAGGTAGTATGGTTGCTTTGAAGACTGTATAACACAAAGGACGTTATTACGGAAATATATTAGTAAGAATGAGTGCAGAGAAGATAGCAAGATCACTGGCGTATGGGCCAGTACATAGCGTACGATCAACAAATGCAGGTTGGTTATACTTGACTTAGACAGGAATCGATGATCTGTTCGATATTCACTGACGCAACTTCAGGATGATTTGGCTAGGACTCAGTGACATTTCACTGGCCGTAAAAGTAAGTGTTTACATGATTGTAGAGAAAATGTTTGTAGTACTTCAAAGTGCAAAATTTTCTAAAATTTGCCTCATTTATTGATTAGAAACGGTCTACAACCCAAACTCTTTTTATCCAAGCTCAGGCAATTTTAGTATCCACATTTGGTTACGGTTAACAGTTCAAGTCAATACTGTTTTTAAAGGGTACCCATGGATCTTAATAGTGTGATACATTAATTGAAGGTAGTCTTATTTTATTCCACATTCTATAGGATAAAGAAAAAATGTAGTCAAGTGCACTTCGTAATTCTTCAGCTTCAGATAACAAACTAACTTCCTAGTTTGACTCTTAGTACAGTTTATATTATCAATTTTTATGAAGTTTATGTATTTTTTTGATGAAATCTCATCAAGCTGCTGAAATTTTAACACAGTACTCTGATTAATGTTGGTTGTACACTATAGCAAGACTTTTAGTAGTTCATAACTGGGGCAAACAAACATCCCAAACCGCCTATGAAATATTTATACTGTAGATATTATGAATGGACTACTTTACAACTTTAAAATCGTAATGCAATTTATTGACGCTTGTTCAATTCAGGAATTTATGGCAAAAAAAACTTGTCTCTAGAAAATAGTTTTATTGTCTAATATCCAGGATGCCCATATGACTTTGTTTCTTCCATACTATAGGATAAGAGACAATGGACTGAATATCTGTGATGTTTGTGCACAACAATGATTCCTAGGTAGGTTGTCCCGTAGTTCATTCGAATTCTAAATGTATTACGTTCATATTTGTTCATCGAGTTCCATCTGCTTTAAATTGAAGTGTTCTTGAAATTCTTAGTCATTCCATCAACTCAGCTACTACTTAAGTTAACCTATCCGTATAGAAATCAGACAATTCTGTCCTTTGCTTAGCACCTTATTTATAACACACAATAACGCAATAATCTGCCTCAAAGCAATTAAAAATATAGATTTTTAAACCAGATTGCAATTACAAGGTTAAAATTTGAAAAGCTTGATCATAAACAACACGGTATCGCCTCCTAAAGTGGTCACAGTGATAATTTTATTCATGATACAAGTTATTTAGTTAGCTAATATTTTTAGATGATAACCAGTACTTGCGTACATGTCTTTCCATTTCCCGCTTTTGTCCATTAGAATTCTACTTTCAATCCCTGACAATTTCTACTTATATTTTTTTTAACACGTAGTTACCACCATTACTTACTTACTTACTTGCTTACGTCTTTTACCCCCAAATGTAGCATAGGCTGCCGACCAGCATTCTCCAACCCACTCTGTCCTGGGCCTTCTTTTCTAGCTCCATCCAATTCTTGTTCATTTCTCTCATGTCTATCTCCATTTCTCGGCGTAATGTGTTCTTTGGTCTTCCTCTCTTCCTTTGGCCTTCAGGATTCCATGTGAGAGCTTGTCTTGCGACGCAGCTGGGTACATTCCTCAATGTGCGTCTTATCCACTTCCAACGCTTCTTCCTGATTTCTTCCTCCGCTAGGATCTGGTTTGTTCTCTCCCAGAGTAGGTCGTTATTGATAGTATCTGGCGAACGGATTCGAAGTATTTTGCGTAGACAACTGTTAATAAACACTTGTATCTTCTGGGTGATGGCTTTCGTAGTTCTCCAGGTTTCTGCCCCAGACAGTAGAACTGTCTTGACATTTGTATTGAAAATCCTGACCTTGGTGTTGGTTGACAGTTGCTTTGAGTTCCAGATGTTCCTCAGTTGTAAATATGCTGCTCTTGCTTTGCCGATCCGCGCCTTCACATCTGCATCAGATCCACCCTGTTCATCAATGATGCTGCCCAAATACGTAAAGGGTTTTACATCTTCCAAATCTTCTCCGTCAATTGTGATTGGATTGATGCATGCTGTGTTGTATCGGAGAATTTTGCTTTTCCCTTTGTGTATATTGAGACCTACTTCTACTGAGACTGCTGCTACACTGGTCGTCTTCTCCTACATTTGTTACTGCGTTTGAGACAGAAGGACCAGATCATCTGCAAATTCTAGACCGTCCAACTGCATCCTAGATGTTCACTGTATCCCGAGGTTCCCTTCACATGTTGATGTCTTCATGATCCAGTAGAGTAGGTCACCAGGAGAAAGAGAAAGGGTGAGAGTAAGCAACCTTGCCTGACACCTGTCTTCACTTCGAACGACTTTGTCAATTGTTCTTCATGCACGATTTTGCAGTTTAATCCATCATAAGAATTCCGTATGATGTTGACTATATTCTCAGGCCACTGTAGTGTTAAAGAAACTTCCATAGTGTTGACCTGTCAACGCTATCAAATGCTTTCTCGTACCCAATGAAGTTGATGTATAGTGATGAATTCCATTCAATTGATTGTTCCACAACAGTCCGTTGTAGAATCCAAACTACGGTTTGGATAGAAGAATAGCCGTCCGGGTACGTTAGACACGCGCCCTTTCCCGTCGAAATCAAAACAAGTAATCGGGTAAATAGCGGTTCTATAATTCATCATAAATTTATAGGTAAATCGTTACCTAAACAAACATTACCACCCGGCTATTCAACTAATAATTGTTCAATCAATCAAATCTATATTACAATAAACAAAGAAGTTGATAAAAGATTAGGGAAAATTAGCAGTCACAACAAATGAACGTTATTCTATCCTGACCGGATAGAACGCACACAATAGGAGGAGCAAATCAATATGGCTACCGCCAAGAACAAGTGTCAAGTAAAACAACACAGATGCAGTTCGGGAAGAAACACAAGCTTAGTGAAGGCGTAAGAAAAACGAAAACTATAATAAAAAAATACAAATATTAACAATTCAAACGTAATCAAAAGACAACGATGTACAAATAAGGGGATCCATAGGAACAAAGTACAAGTATATACATGCAGGGATTTTCACCAACACACAAAATATTCAAAATGGATCTTACATCCGTAGTGCTGCAATTTGGTCTGTACACGGTCGATTCTTTACGGAATCCAGCCTATTCATCACGAAGTTCGGTGTCCACGGAGTCCTTCATTCTGTTTAACAATACCCTGTTGAAGACATTTCCTGGTGTTGAGAGAACAGTGATGCCTCAGTAGTTCTCACATTTGCTGACATCTCCTTTCTTTGATATCTGCATCAGATGTCCTTCTTTCCAGTCTGTTGGTACTTATTCTTCATCCCAAATCGTATTGAAGAGAATGTGGAGTATCTTTGCAGTTACCGCTACGTCTGCTTTCAGTGTCTCTGCTGGAATGTTGTTTGGTCCAGTTGCTTTGCCACTCTTGATTTGCCTGATCACCATGTTGATTTCTTCAACTGTTGGTGAGCCAACATTGATTGGGAGGTCGGTGGTGCTGTTCGATGTTAGTTGGGTTCAGTGGAGCTGGTAGATTCAAGAGCTCCTTCAAGTGCTTTACCCACCTGTCTCACAGTTCTCCAGTCTTGGTGATTGCCTTCCCTTCCTTCTGGTTTACGATAATTTCCAGCGAGTTTCTTTGTTGCATCACATATTTGTCTCATGTTTCCTTCCCTTGCAGCCTTTTCTGTCGTCGTTGCTAAATCCTCCACATGTTTAGATTTGTCGACTTTGCTTCTCCATTTCACTTGCTTGTTTGCTTCTGTGGATTCGACTTGTGTCTCGCTTTTCCATGTTCTTGTTCGACTGGTATTGATTGCTGCTTTCTTGTTCCTCCTTTCTTGAATCTTATCCAGTGCATCAACAGTGATCCAACACCTCATGACATGTTGAAATGATTGCCCCTTTGATCCCCTTCCAGTTGCTCTCCATAGTAGTTCCTTCTCCATTGAGTAGATCATGAAAGGCCTGGAACTTATTGCTGAGGACCATCTTGAATTTGTTGAGTTTGTTAGTATCCTGAAGAAAGGCCGTATTGAACATTTGTGATATTGTCCGCTCCATTGTCCAGTGCTTCTTCAGTTTCCGTTTCATCATGGCGACCAGAAAGTGATGATCTGGGTCTATATCCGCTCCTTTCTTGGTCCTCACTTCCCCCATCGTCCTTCTGAAATTTTTGTTGATGTTGGTATGGTCGATTGGGTTCTGTGTACAGTGATCCGGTGAAGTCCATGCGGTTTT